TTGATGTACGCTGATGATATGGTGGTCATAGCAGAAACGCCGGAAAGTTTGCAAAAAATGCTAGATTCCTTGTCAAATTATACCTATAAATGGGATTTGACAGTTAAAACCCAAAAAAACAAAATTGTTGTATTCCGAAATGGGGGTAAGTTGAAAGAGAACGAAATTTGGTGGTATAAAGGCAAGAAATTAGAAGTAGTTGACACTTTTAACTATTTAGGAGTGCTACTTAATTTTAACGGGAAATTCAGAGTAACTCAAAAACAAATTGCTGACCAAGGGAGAAAAGCAATGTTTGCAATTGTCAACGTTTGTAAAAATAAATATTCTAATATAGAAACGCAGTTAGCTGTGTTTGACACATATGTAAATAGAGTATTTAGTTACGGGGCGGAAGTGTGGGGCTTCCATGTTGCACCAGATATAGAAAATTTACATGTACATTTTTGCAAACGTATATTGGGATTACATAGTAAGGCAAGTAATTATATGGTATATTATGAACTAGGACGGTATCCTGTGAATATAGTGCGTAAATTTCGTATTTTCAAATATTGGATAAAATTAAGAAAATCTGAAAACTGTATTTTAAAATCATGCTACTCTGAGATGCGATCTAACAACGATATATGGTTAAGTAAGGTGAGGCAAGAATTATACAGAATTGGTCTTGGTTATGTGTGGGAAGCCCCGAGTCTAAATAATGATATATTTTTTTATAATTAAGGAACGCATTTCTGATATATTCAAACAAGAATGTTTTGAAAAAATAACATCTTCGGCAAAAGGTGCACTTTACCAATATATTTGTAATCTTGGACTACAGTTTTATTTGTCCAACTCTATCAATATCAATTATGTAAAACATCTTTGTAAAACAAGACTATCAGCACACAAATTAAATATTGAATGTGGCAGGTATAACAATATCGAACGAGGAAACAGATTGTGTACATTATGTAATATGAATGAGGTAGAAGATGAATTTCATTTCATTTTGAAATGTCCTTGTTATGCTGACATACGAGCTAACTTCATCAAAAAAAATATTTAAACCGTACTAGCATGTTTAAATTTATCCAACTGCTAAACAGTAATAGTTTATCAGAAATTAGAAATTGGCATGCGAACAAGAAAAGGTCTCAACTTCTGTAATTAGTGGTTACTGTTCACTCTCCACTATATAATGTACAAATATAATACCTAGACATATTATGTTTGCATGGATGTAATTAAGCATTGAACTGTTTTTGTATGGTATTTATGATCTATTTGAATGACACAGCTTTGCAAGCAAACAACATAATGCGCGCTACATACAAAAACAGTTCAATACTATATCTACGTTTTCTCTGCCTCTAAGGTTCTTTTTTAACCTATAATTTATATTCAAAATTAAAAATGCCCGCCTTATCGACAGTCCACACATTTTCGTTCAATAGTTTGAACAGCGTATTGTCGCGTGCTGATTGGCAAACAAAGTAGTACTTTGAAATTTTAACAAACACTTCAATTTTATTCCACAATTCAGTATCAATACAATTGCGTATGATATGTCTATAGGGTGATTAAAGTTTATCAATAGAACTCTGAGCTGAAAGTTAGATTTTAAATTGTTTCGATTTTTCCCCGGAACAAATTTCGCGCATGGACAAATACAGTGAACACCGTAAATCCGACCTTGCCCTCCACGAGGGAGTTATTTTTGGAAGTTNCGTTATTTGACATGTCGTCAGAAACTGAAGAATAGTGGATGCGAGACGCGTGAAACTGATAGCGTTTGAAGTGAGTGATCTTGCGACGGAGCACAGGCTCGTTACAAATGTCTGAAATGTTTATGTGTGCTGTGACTCATAACAGTAGGTCTGTAACGTATGTGTCAGTAGGTCTATAGAATATGTGTATTTCAGACATTTGTAACGAACCCCTGTTGATCAGTGCAGTGTAACAGACGATATTTCTGATAAATTGCTTGAGCGTTAAAATTGTTTCCATTGCCGGCATTGGTGATTTCAACCGATGTGCATTTTGTACGATATTGCAGACATTGATATTGTTTTCGTTGTAATAAAAGTGTTTTTTATTTTATTTTTTATTTTGCACATAAATTTACAATGACATTGTCAAATGTCACAATGCCCAGCGATATATTGGATATTGACTAATTATTGTGGTTCCGGTCAGTGTTGTATTAATACGCTAAGAGTTGTGTCTCGTGATGCATGGTAATTAAAGTCCCATCAACGACACAGCTTACAAAGAGGCTATATAGTGACAATGCCATGCAAATGTAAATATATTGTATTGCACTGTATATATGTTGTAACTGATAAGTCGGATGACTTAAAGTAATAATAAACTAATCTTAATCAGTCAAAGCCGTTCATAATATGACGACGGGAGTAGTCTAGATCGGCAGGGAAATATTTGTTTCTTTAATTTGATGCATGATTTGCCATACATCATGTGGTTTAATTTTCGGTAAACTTCATGAAAAATCTAAAAATGGTCGAATTTCAGTTGGTCGGACACTGCTTTCCTCGGGATGACACGCTAAATCCCCAGTGGGTATAGCGCCTAACACACGGCATGTACGCTATTCAATGTCAGTAGTGTTTCTACGATAGGAAACAAACTTACTTGTATTATAGTTCATGCCCTTATATTATCATGACCGACACCCGAGTCCAGTTTTTAAGCTGGTCAGGCTGACGATCGGAAATCTGAATAGAGCCTGTCATTTTTTCTAACTTTTGTGACCTCGGCGCTGATTTGTCCGTTAAATTTGAAGCCAATCAGCACCAAGTTCACAAAAATGAGAGAAAACGGCTAGTAGTACCTGGAACAGAATGCTATAACATTCCCCCAAATAAATGACCTTGACCAACTTTCACGGGCACATGGGTCAAATATGTCAAATACCTTTAAACAACTTCTTCCGCAATACCAGAAGGCCCTGGGTGATGATAGTTGACCAGTATCATGCTAGGATGGAGAAGTTCAAAGTTATAGTTAGTCTGGAACATTCTTAAACCAAGGAGACTTAATATATGGAAATATTTGCAAAAATAATTTTATTAAGACTATTTTCCCATGATTGCTCAAATACCCAGGTGAGCGATAAGGCCCTCTGGGCCTCTTGTTACTTCAAAGTTGGTATGTGAAGTTTTACATACGGCGTCGAATCAAGTTTATGATTTTGAATTTGATCCGAATATATCTATGTCAACTTTACGAGATCTGTGTGCAAAAAGTAAAAGTAAATTTTGGCAGAGTTTGAACCAAAAGTAGAAATAAAGGTAGGCAGGATTACGCAGGGGAATAAATGTCACAGTAAAGATGGATACCACCTTACTGCCTTACAGCAAGTGTTGGCCATCTGGAACTGTTGTTAAACCTAAACTAGAAGTTGTTAAAGATCTCGAATGGAATGTATTTTAAAAAGTGTGCAACTTCATTTAGCTGATTTATACAAAAAGCGATTCCTGTTGTTTATTTACGCTAACATATTTGTGGATTTCTGGAATATATACAACATTTGGTATAACTTCCTATCTAGCTTCACGTAGAATAAGCCACTCTTAAGCACTTTGCAGTACATAGATATAAAATGTATACAGTCAATAAAATTACCATATACATTATATATAGGGGTTACACAACGAGTGGTTGTTGAATATGGTATTTATTTCACTCGAGATAGTTAATTTTCAAAAGTTACAAAAGACACGAGCTTTAGCGAGTGTCTTTCTGTAACTTTTGAAAATTAACTAACCAGAGTGAAATACATGCCATATTCAATACCATATATTTCCATATATTGAGTCTCTTAGTTTGAGAACTATAAATACAATAGTCAACAACCACGAGTCGTGTGATCTGTTTCTACCACAATCTCAGTCGGAAACAGCTGGAGTATTTCCTGATTTGAATAGCATACACCCATTTTGTTGACAAGGCTGGCGTAGTGATATGACCCATATGTAAAAAGTCACTCATTATTCATTAATATTCAAAAATGACTTTTTTTTACAAATAAAATAAAACAGATGAACTACTTTAAATATTGAGAGTATGCAATATTGCATTATTTAGTACAAATTAACCACGGACTATATGCGCGTAAGCATTTCGTACGAAGTCTGCCTCCCGCCAAGTGATGAAGACGAACTAATCACTGTCAATGTCCAAAACCCTAGGCCACGTTTCTTCGTGAGGTTCTATGATTGACGTTTATTGTGAGAGGTCCGCCATAGTCAGGCCCTCCAGATATTGATAACTGGACATGGGGAGAACGAAATATGTTCCGACACTGTTACAGATCTTGTTTGGGTTCCACAGAGACATATATATTACATCTCTGGGTTTCACAACATGGACACGCGACGGTATGGCGTCGAAACGATATCGAGCGTCTGTAGCAATTTTGCCTGAAACTAGCGATCAAATCTTTTAAGCATCATCTTCTTTTGGTATTGCCTTAATAACCTCCTTTTCCCATCGCATAACCTCACGAAAGTCAACAGCATTTGCCGGATGTTGACAGCAGACGACGTAAACAAAACAGCACGCGGCAAAAGCGCGTGAAAAAAATCGTCCGATCAAGGTTCATCTTCTCGACCAATCAAAACTACGGAAGGTCATATAACACGTGTTGTGTATAACTCATATTTATTCAACAGTCTGAATGATAAGCGTATTGGTAGAAAATACATTAATCAATACAATGTTGAGAAATGTGCAGGGGCTACCTTAACAGATGTTAACTACCAATCCTTTTCTACCTGGCGAATATCTCCCTATATGTGTACGCCTGTGTGTGTGCTGGAGATTAGACTGGCTACCAGCCCCTATTTTTTATAAAGGATTTCCTGGCTGCATTTCATTACTAGCTTATCTCCCCTAGTTTAGAACTAGGTTTACATATCTGATTGAAATAAATGTATACATAAGATTTCATACCACTTCTTACATATTTAGATAGACCCTTCCTTTTTCAGGTTCCATGTTAATGGCGACTGTTCTGAAAGGCCTAGATGACTTTGAGACCACGTGCCTGACACGCGCAATGATGAACTCTGGTGAGATTATGCGCTGGCCAGAGAGTTGGCGCGGTAAGATTGTGGACAAACACAGCACAGGAGGTGTTGGCGACAAAATCAGTCTCGTTCTGGCACCAATATTAGCGTCTTGTGGCATGAAGGTAACATCAATTCGGCAATTAAACCCATTTAATGAAGTTGTTTTAAAATTAAAATAAAACACTACCATAATGTACAATATAATGTCGAGTATATCATCGTGAATCCAGTGGCCGCTAATCTGGTTGTCCCACTTTTCAACCACCAGTACCACGTTTTGGGTTGTTCCACTTACAATCCTAAAACTCATCTAAATGTCCGACTACCAAGCCACAACTAATCTGGTTCATCCCGTTATCCAGCCACCACTGATCCTGTTGTCCCGCGGTGAACGTTTTAAAGCAGACATTCTCTATTATTATTCTCTCCTGGTACAGCTGCATCAGGCCTATTCGCGATTATAGCCGCTGTTTTAATAACTTTGAGTAATCTCCCTCATAAAAAGATGATGAACCAACGTAACGATTATTTTCCTTTCTTGGCGTAACTTCGACTATCATGTCATGTATCTTTGAACGTTTGTTTTTGATACAGGTACCCATGGTGTCCGGCCGGGGACTGGGGCACACTGGGGGAACCCTGGATAAGTTAGAGTCGATTCCAGGATTCAGTGTTGCAATCAACACGGCCGCTATGACCCGTATCCTAGAGGACGTCGGATGCTGTATTGTCGGTCAGACTGAAACATTGGTACCAGCCGATAAAAAGATCTACGCAATGCGTGACGTCACAGGCACAGTAGAAAGCGTAGGACTAATAGCGGGTAAGTTTGTGAAGAATCCGTACCTTAAAAATTAAAAACAAAAACAAATTTAAAATATTATCATAACGGTGACTGTATTAGACATCTGGCCCAGATTGCTCAAAGATTGGATTAACTTTAGTGGCGAGTGAAAAAGTAGGATGGTTGCCAATAATATACAAGTGCCTTTAACGCAAAAACAATCATAAACACACTCTACAAGATATTCATGGTTTTGCTGTATCATAAATTATTCCCGAACCACTAGTTAAATCTAAACCATTGAGCAACCGGGCCTGTCCAACAGAAAATAGGAACCATATCATTTGATGCATTCATCAAAAATGAATTTCAATCGAATTCAATTGGTAACATTGTTTGGTCTGACGTTTTATTGTTCTTACATTGTAGCGTCCATTATAAGCAAGAAAGCTGCAGAAAATTTAGATTTTCTCATTTTGGATGTGAAATGTGGAAAAGGATCAACCACGGGTTCGAAGGAAGATGCGTTAGTTTTAGGAACACGCATGGTAACTCAGTTATAACATTATTTTCTACAAACATAGTTATACTGTAGGCACTTTACTATCAATGCAATACGTAGATTAGAAGTAAAGCATCTGTTAATACCTGAGTTGTAAAAGCAGTAACCACATCATTTTTTATATGCATGTAAACAATGTACATGTACCAGTGATATATCGAAAATGATTTCAACAGGTTAAGCATGAATCAATTTCAATCAGTCGATCGCAGATGATTAATTCTAATAAAAACAAATGAGAAAAAAATGCGCAATGTATAACCAGCTCTATCGCTCCTTCCCCGAAAATAAAAATAAAACGATCGTCCTTTTTCGCTTGATATTGCTATGATATAAATAATATTTCCATCTTCATGAATATCCAGGTCAACATTGCGAATGGTCTTGGTATCAATACCATCGCCTTACTGACTGAAATGAACAACCCGATCGGTCAAGCGATTGGTAACGCTCTCGAGGTGGCGGAGTCCCTCAACTGTCTGCATAACAAAGGACCAAGTGACGTTATGAAACTCGTTTGCCAATTAGGTATATATAACATCAAGAGCGGAACTTATTTAATGTTATTGTTAAGGCACATATTTTCAAAGACGTTGTCTATCTTGATGCAGTGCAATACCCCGCCTGTAGTATAAGATTATTCACTATTCTTAGGGAGAAAAGTGGTGGATCTAATGAGCAATATAATTTTTAGTTTTCATCGAGTCAGTTGTTTTTATACAACTCATCAGTGTGTTTTGACTTTAGGTGGTCAATTATTGTATCGAGCTGGTCTGACTCAGACGATTGAGGAATCATATGATATGATGGAAGCTCGTGTTCGTGACGGAGCGGCAATTGACTGCTTCAGAAGGATGTTAGTCGCGCAGGGAGCTACAGAGGATACTGCTAAGCGTCTGTGTGATCCTGAAAATGACATTTGGACTATTTTACCACGTGCGAAACATATGACAGAATTGAAAAGCGAGAAAAAAGGTAATTTCTTTGTAAAGTTTTTCCACTCAGCATACATACTCGATTGCTCGAAATGAAATTCATCAGTTTGGTATGAGTAATAAATGCCATTTTTACATCCAATAAGGGGCAGAATGGGGAAAAAATATTACCTATCTCTCTAAAAGACGTAGTATAAAGTGCTTTTTGGCGAAATGGCTAGATATTTTCGTAATCTCGCAAAAATGAGTTTTCAATTACTGTTTGTGTTTAAACCAAACTAAGCATTTATATAGGGATTGAATGGCGTTTTTTAATTATCATGCCGTTATAAACGCAAATTGGTAACATTCATATTGCATGAAGCCCGCTTCATGTTCAATATGGATTTAACCGATTTGCGTTCATACCGGCATGAAATTTAAAAAAAAACCTGTTCAATCCATATATTTAAATTTTTGACACAAAACGAGAGTTTCAGTCCTTGTCATCACCTTTACTATGTAGCTGACAAATATACGATGCCACCTGGCGAGCAATAGCGGCGCTAATCCCATTGATGAATTTGGCAATTCTTTGCTTGGATTGGTCAAAATTTGTGAAGCCCAATTTATGAATGAAATTTCCTATCGGTCTCCTTACTCACGCTATATCACCAAAGAAAATAGTTCTCTGATTTACACCCACCTGAATAAGATTCGTTTCACAAAAAGATATGTTAATATGCTGAAGCAAGTGAACTTAACATGTTTTAGTAGTTTGAAATCATTTCGTTTCTCTGTATTGCTAAATAATCGGTCAAAACAAAAATGACAACCTTTTTGTCGCGCAAAGATATTTGACCTTTCGGCTTCTATGTGACCCAGAAGGAAACCTGCTGACAACGTCTAAATTGTAAGTGTAAGTATATATTTTAATTTATTCATTACTATTTGGTGACATAAAAATATACCGGGGTACATTATGTCTGATTTCTGTGTAGAATATTAGGCATTATTATTATCAGGGACAGTATATAGAGGGGATTGGCAACTCTGCCCAGTCAATATTCTATAGCACGTCGCTTTTGTGTTTGTTCACCGAACCGCGAAGTCATCGAGAGCCCCTCTCGACCAGCCCGCGCTTGCGCACTAGCGTTAAAATTAAGCACGCACCTGCTTTCGGTGTCATGTCAACAATCTCGCCGAGATCGAAGTGTTTTGATAACGGCCGTTAGCCCTAATTGGGACTGTGTATTAGGAGGTCTTCTTTTTATTCCAGGGATAGGGCTATCGNTAAAAAAATCGGTCAAATACTTTTGGAGTGAGGTGGTTCACATACATGTGGGATTTTTTTATCCCGCATTTTTGTCTGTCGACGCCCACCACAACACTCTGAACCACGCGTTACATCGCGTTTAGAAATAGAAAAATATACCCCAAAAACGAGACATCAATTACTATGATACCACAGATTTTATCAATTAAAAGTAATACAATCAGCTTATAACAATGGGATAAACAAAAGACGTAAGAACACTTATCTTGATTGGTTTGTTTTCACACCAACTTCTGCATCTAACGAAGCGGTATCGACGCCATCTTGCTTTGTCAAAATTGAGATAGGTGGCGCTCGCTATCTGCTCCGGAATCAGGGAGAGGTAAGTCTAGATTGACGTGCCATAAAATTGGTAAGGCAGAGAGGGAGTTGCTAATCCCCTTCACTATACATCCCTGTTATTATAGACTGTAAGTTTATGTGTTGTATAACTTGTGCCCAATCCTGTTGCTTTAAAGGCAATGAAATATGTTTCAATCAAAGCTTAGGACAAAAATCCTTGCCGACATGATCAACTCCTGTTTTGATCGATGCTTCATGTCCGTGAGCCAAGGCATTGTTGACGATAGGAACAACTTATGATAAAACGATGACATTGAAGAGTTTAATATGCAAGAAAATTATTCTGTGAAAAAAAGTTTGAATTTGTCCTAGAATCGGTAGCTGTACCAGCCATTTTGAGGAGTTTCCACATGGATATAAATAGTCTGTCTACTTTGATTGGCTCGCTAACATACTTTACACGCAGTAATTGGTTAACTGCTGTCTGTGATGTCACCATTCGTAGAGGTCCAAATGGGGAAATTAATTGCAAACAAAATATGATGGATAAAGTCAGAGAGATCCGAATGTTCATACAGGATTGTTGGACATTGTTCTGCTATTCCACGCACGGCGGCGGTGTTTTTGGTTATGGTCGGAAATTGATAAAATCAGAGATCTCCGAAATGGCATTTCAGGGTCATACTAATACCAGGACCAGACGGAAAACCAGGACCAAGTGCTTTAATGTGTTTCTTTCATGTTTTTTAATGCAACNGGCTTTAATGTGCTTCTTTCATGTTTTTTAATGCAACTACCTTAATGAATTGATATAACATAGTATGGTGTTCTTGTATTTCCTACATGAAATAAGCTTTAAAATTGAGTTATTAATACATGCTGGTCTGGACAATCCGGTTTTGGTATTAGTGTGACCTGCTATCTTACTTTTAAGTAGTACTAGCACGGAATTAGATTAGATTTGCTTTCTAAGTCCGTGGTAGTAGTCATTGGTTGCATGCTATTCATGTTATTTCTTTCTCATTGGATATTGATGCCCCTGCTAGGCATTTACACTAAATCACATATATATAAATTATGTAACAGGGTTTGTACAGGCATTGAAAAGGCCTGTCCCTCAACTGAGGAATAACACCACAGTACCACCTGACCAACTGGTTAACAGTTGTCCGCTCGTGGACGCACTGACTACCAAAGTATATATATTTCAAATAAATTCTCAGCATAACTACGCGAGCTTCTACATACCCATCTATCTCAAACTTTATTATAACTGCTTACTAATACATAATGCTGTAGGTAGCCATTTTAGCTTTTTGGATAATTTGATAATTACTTTCCTTCGCGGGCTAATGAGTTCAAAACAGTTCAAGGGATATCTTCGCGGGCTAGCGATTTGTCAACACTGTCCACGGGATGTAGCTCGTGTTTACGCTAAATAGACTTCGAACCTACTGATGTGTGGACAGTCAAACGTGCTTGAAAGGGAAAACAAAACAGAAGCAGTACAGTTATGCTGCACGGATGTCGTATATAATGATATAGCAGATCGTACTGAGGATGTCAGGTTTCTTCGTTCTTGATCAAACGCCTTCAAGAAAAAATACGAAACTAATATAACACATACTGAAATAGCTCCGCAACTGTCAATTATTATGCTACATGTGCTCCAGTATTTAAACTAGTTTGTGATCAAAATATGCAGACAACAGAGTAAGTAACGATGTAAACGGGTCTAATATACCTTGCTTTGTTTGATTACATAACTATTATTCATAGATTCTATTTATTTTCATTCATAACGAAAATCAAACAATAAATAGTTACTGGTCATTCGTTCGTGAATCGTTCGGCCTAGATTGATACTGTCAAAATTAGGAAACAGTCAGTTCCATTAACTTTTCTTTTAAAGCGGAAATACATGATATTATTAACAGTAGAAACAATTTTGTTAACTTTTCCAGCATTTGAATTATTGATCGATCACCCACGTATTGCTGTATAAATTTCTTTTTTGATTGCAAATATTGAGCTACATTTCTTAACATTGAACACCGGAGCCTGAAGTTCTGTTAAAAAAATATAATAATAGTAATACAAAGATACCTATGTCTATTTTGTAAGCATATTATTTTCTTTTATTGTATTACTGCTATCATTAATTTTTGACAGAACTTAACAGGCTCCTGTGCATTGAACAATTGAATAGGCACTCAGTGTTATAAAATCAGTACAGGCCTAGATTTATTCTTTTGCGGTAAACTTTTCTGTCAAAGGAAAAAATAACAATATTTTTTATTCTTCCAATATATCTTCATTGTTCAGTGTGTTGATATACTATTTTTTTTTCTTTCAGATATTAAGCTACATTTTCATAATGTTAAACAATTAAATAGAACCCTGTACCTATAGACTTCAATTTTATTTGAAGGGATAATATCCATTTTTTTTCAATTTTCAATTAAGTCTGTAGACAACTGTAGTGCAAAAGCTGACCTTTATCAAAAAACAAATATTTCCAATTTTAGGTGATCTACACACCAGTATCCGCTGGAAGTTTAAGGCTTGACAATCAAAAAGATTGGCAAGGTGGAATGGCGTTTGCAGTAAATGGCACAGAAAGGACTTGTTGGTCATCTCACCATTCCTGATGTAGAGACAAATCAAGTGGAAGTGAAGAATGAAGATATTCTGTGAATGGACAATTATAGAAGTTTACCCTTATATACACATTAAATGGACAACGATAGAAGTTTACCCTGATATACACATTAAATGGACAAGTTAGGTCATCATGAATGTTAAATGGTACTCAATGACAATTATAGAAGTTTACACTTATATACACATTAAATGGACAGTTATAGAAGTTAACCCTCATATACACATTAAATGGACAGTTATAGAAGTTTACCCTTATATACACATTAAATGGACAATTATAGAAGTTTACCCTTATATACACATTAAATGGACAATTATAGAAGTTTACCCTTATATACACATTAAATGGACAATTATAGCAGTTTACCCTTATAAACACATTAAATGGACAATTGTAGCAGTTTACCCTTATCTACACATTAAATGGACAATTATAGAAGTTTACCCTTATATACACATTAAATGCATACAACTAGAAGCTTTTGGATGATTTTTTTGTTAACACCAATTTCGTTTTGCATACGATTGAAAATTTTAATTTGATTGAAATTTGAAAGATTGAAAATAAGTAAACATCAATAAAGTTAGATCATCATGAATGTTAAATGGTACTCAAGCTTACTGCTATTTATGATATAAGTGTGATGATTGATAACAATTATATTCCTTTGTATTAATATCTTAACACAGAACAATTCAAATAATTGTAATATAACAATATTATAAATATCATACAAATCTATCTTGAAATATTATCCCAACATGAACATATTCTTTAAAATTAGACTTATTCAAGCAAGATAGATGCTTCAAGTGATAAACAAAAAAAATGTTCTTTTTAAAAAGGTTTAGCAAAAATTGATAATCAGTTTCACGTGATTTTCCTGCGCAATTTTACAGTCAAAATGAGGAATACAGACTGTTTCCCCTAGCTAAAGAGTGCCTTATTTTCCAAAAATAACCAAAATGAGAAATATATTCCCAATTTAAATATTAAGTATTTTAACATTTCATGTAGTTACATGCTGTTGTAAAACTTAGGTAAAAAACCCCACTAGTTTCCTGAATGATTTATTGGATCTTTTTAATGTGTAATGAGTGATTTAATATATGAATTCCAAAAATAGTGCAAACTGAACATACAGTTTGATACTATTCTAAACATGTATAAGCGTGAAATTTACACAATATTATATAACGAAAATGTACTTTCTATTTCTTCTTTCACTGATCACTTGGTTTACTGTGTAGCGCTTTAATATTTCGCGGTTTTGTATTAAGTACATATTCGCGGGGGTTAAATTTCGCTGCGCACCCGAAACCCATGCGTCGTGCAAAGTACTTTGAGCGTCGTTCTTTAAGGGTTAAACCTCGAAATACAGGTAAACCGTCTGAAAACTCTGATCCCGAGCGTTGTCATCCGCCAGTGACTTCACTCGAAAATATATCAAATTAAGCACTTACTGTGTACACATCAATAGATTGTGGCCACTTATATGTAAGTGTTATTTGTACACGGACTGCCCAGTTGTCCGGTGATAATCTGATTGGAGTTCATTTAAGCGTGCATAACAGCGTACTTTCAACATGTTGTGATAAGGTACGAAAATTTCGCTGGTCTTTAGAATTCGCGGATACTGGTCAAAGCGCGAATATAGAGAAATCAAAACCCCCGCGAAAAATCGCTTTACACTACTGTCTGTATCCCAAACATTTTCACTGATCGACAATGATATATCNCGATGGGAATTAATATCCATTTTTTTTCAATTTTCAATTTAGTCTGTAGACAACTGTAGTGCAAAAGCTGACCTTTATCAAAATACAAATATTTCCCATTTAAGGTGATCTACACACCAGTATCCGCTGGAATTTTAAGGCTTGACTACTAGCAAGATGGAATGGCGTTTGCAGTAAATGGCACAGAAAGGACTTGCAGGTCATCTCACCATTCCTGTTGTAGAGACATATCAAGTGGAAGTGAAGAATGAAGAGATTCTGTGAATGGACAATTATAGAAGTTTACCCTTATATAAACATTAAATGCATACAACTAGAAGCTTTTGTATGATTTTTTTATTAACACCAATTTCGTTTTGCATTTGATGGAAAATTTTAATTTGATTTAAATTTGAAAGATTGAAAATAAGTAAACATCAATAAAGTTAGGTCATCATGAATGTTAAATGGTACTCAAGCTTACTGCTATTTATGATATAAGTGTGATGATTGATAACAATTACTTTCCTTTGTATTAATATCTAAACACAGAACAATTCAAATAATTGTAATAAAACAATATTATAAATATCATACAAATCTATCTTGAAATTGTATCCCAACATGAACATATTCTTTGAAATTAGGCTTATTCAAGCAAGATAGACGCTTCAAGTGACTTTCTATTTCTTCTTTCATTGATCACTTGGTATACTGTGTAGCGCTTTAATTTCGCGGGGTCAATATTTCGCGGTTTTGTATTAAGTACATATTCGCGGGGGTTAAATTTCGCTGCGCACCCGAAACCCATGCGTCGTGCAAAGTACTTTGAGCGTCGTTCTTTAAGGGTTAAACCTCGAAATACAGGTAAACCGTCTGAAAACTCTGATCCCGAGCGTTGTCATCCGCCAGTGACTTCACTCGAAAATATATCAAATTAAGCACTTACTGTGTACACATAAATAGATTGTGGCCACTTATATGTAAGTGTTATTTGTACACGGACTGCCCAGTTGTCCGGTGATAATCTGATTGGAGTTCATTTAAGCTTGCATAACAGCGTATTTTCAACATGCTGTGTCCATAAAAGCGATTAACATTTTCGATAATATCGCTGGTCTTTAGAATTCGCGGATATTAGTCAAAGCGCGAAAATAGAGAAATCAAAACCCCCGCGAAAAATCGCTATACAGTACTGTCTGTATCCCAAACATTTTCACTGATCGACAATGATATATCTATGATTTTAAAGGATTATGGTTCATGTAATACTTATGCAATTGCTCCGATAAATAATTACACAATTTTAAACTGGTCTTTGTTCAATTTCTTTTATATGCCCCCTTTTCAAAGCAGTGTCCTTTTGACAAGCTTCTGTCACACAGTTAATTCATCATGTTGGATAATGATTGAAATTTATCATGGTACTGTACATGTAACTGCATACTGTATACATGGTCACGACTTTGTACCTTGTGACATTGGAGGGAGAGGTTTCAGTAAAGTATTGGCGAAATCAGAACGCGATACAAACATCTTCACGGAAATTTTGTTATTTTATTTTTCAGGATTTGTACAAGAAATCGACTCTAAGCTGTGTGCTGTTGCATCCGGCAAACTTGGTGCCGGAAGAAGCAAATGGGATGACGTTATCAAATTCGGGGTTGGCCTTATGCTACAAGTGTGTGTTGGCGATGCCGTTGAGAAAGGTAAACACGCGTGTTTATAACATCCCTTTCACATTAGGTTGACCTTGCCATTGATTTGATATGCATGTATTTATGTGCTGTAATTGTAGTTATAGGACTCATCTAGTTCAAACAAGTGATAAATCACCATGCAGGACTTTCCTCTGTATTGAATTATACTATGCTGTTCATAACTTGTCTCGAAATGATGCCTACACAAATAGGCTTTTTTGACATTTCCGCGTTTCTATCATTATGCATACATCTTTAACCTAACTGATTTGGTAATATTGTGATTACAGGAGATGTATGGGTTCAGATTCACCACGACTCGGACGATGTTCCCGCGGAGGTAGTGACAGTGTTAGAGCAAGCCCTAGTGGTCAAAGACCAGCCGCTGGCCGAAACAAACAAGTCACGCGTTATTGAGATAATCGCATAGTCCATTGACAGGGACTACCAATGTCTGACGTAACTCGTCATTGAACAGTTGTCATTGCCATTTACGAATATTTTAGATTTTGTTAGGGACAATTTGTTCAGATTATAATTGCGTCTGTATTTAAGACAGATTGTTGATTGGTACATGTTGTACATGATATAACAATGATTGATGAGAAATAGGTCATTTACGTTTATCAACTTAAGCTTCAGGTTTGGTACTTTCTTAGCTCAATTTTACGTCTTTACAGCATCAGTACTTATTTTGAAGTTGTGTCTTATCCGCATGCACCAGAAGGTATTGTGTTCATTTATTGTCACGATAGGCTCATTAACACGCCAATCTCTTGCTATTTTTAAGTCAGATCAAACTATTGTTTATGTCATTCTTATTCATTTAAAATGTCATATGGCACAGTCGTACAAATGTGATCAACCGCCCGCGAACTTGTTATTTCCATATGAAACTGGTATGACAATTGCTAATGGCGCCAACGACTCTAACGTCATGTAATTAACATCATGAACACAAATCTGACCCAGAACTGTCAGTGCATTTCCTCTTCATTTTGATTGTCGTCAATCCATAGCAGATTGGCTCGGATATCTGCAATACTAACAATCATTTTGTTTTTCTTTCGTTTGAAATTAAACTGATTTAGATTGAGGATAACTTTCTGGATACTTCTAATTGCACACTCCCAAACTGATAAAAGAATGAGTACAAGTCTTAAATAAGGAAGTACGTTTTATTATAAGGGAGTGTGCTATATCTACAATTAACACTAGTGTATTACTCTACATGTAAACAATGAATGCTCCCTCTCTGTGATATATATATATATAGATCAAACTCTGTGATATATATATATATATAGATCAAGCTCTGTGATATATATATATATAGATCAAATTCTGTGATATATATATATATATATAGATCAAACTTTGTGATATATATATATATAGATCAAGCTCTGTGATAGATATATATATCGATCAAGCTCTGTGATATATATATATATAGATCAAACTCTGTGATATATATATATATATAGATCAAGCTCTGTGATATATATATATATATAGATCAAGTTCTGTGATACATATATATATAGATCAAACTCTGTGATATACATATATATAGAGATCAAACTCTGTGATATATATATATATATAGATCATACTCTGTGATATATATATATCGATCAAACTCTGTGATATATATATATATATAGATCAAACTCTGTGATATATATATAGATAGATCAAAGAAGTAATATTAATGGTAGCTTCTCGAATATCACTGGGTCCTTACAAACGTATGTTTGTCGGACACGAATTGAGAATTACCTAGAATTTTATATGGGGCAAGGAAGTCATCCTTTGATATATGATATATATATCATTAAATTGAGTGTTCATATGGCAAATCTTTATTTTCTATATTTAGAGTAAGTATTGATCTACTTCATACCAATGTTAAAATCCAGTTTAAAATCCGCAAATAATATCCGTTTTTATTCAAGTAGTCTAACGCTTGACTTGCTGGTTTTATTTTCTTGGTTTCAAAACAAAACTAGAAATAGGTCATTACGTAAAAGATATTACTAGACAAAAAGTAATACAAGAATTTTGTAATTCATTATTTTGTTAAATTGAATGTGGGTGGAGTTTAATTATGTTGTCACACGTTAAACATACAAGTGGAGTAGCCATGGAATGATAGCTTCTGATTGAGTGATTGATTTCCGTAAGGAGTTGCAGGTTTGCGATTGTATCTTGTAGTTGGTGTTAAAACTGTTAATGACTTAGTTTCAGTGTAGCCTGGTAGTGTGCTTGAGATATGAGCAAGCAGATCAAAGTCTAATGTATCATGTCATTTTGTATACTTTAAGCAGTGAGAGTGGAGTGTGGTTTAAGTTTCGAAATATACCTTATTAACTTTGATCTTCCGCTTATTTGTAAAGACCTTGGTTTAAACAAACTTGGATCTTCCACTTATAAAGACACTGGTTTTAACAGTGTTGGTTTGCTTGTGAAATTATTATCATTTAATGTATTTTGTTAACATTTAATAATCTGGCTTAAACGGAAACGGAAACACTGCGTTTCCTAAGCATATTGCTGATATCAAACGTACGATGCAATGATAATTAGTGGAAACTTTTGTTTTTAATTTTATTTGTCAAACAAGGGTCAGTTGTATAAATCAAAACGTTTTAGACAAAAGAAGTATACAATTGATTTTGAAAGCAGAAATGCCAAACAGGTAGAAGATTATTTGACAAGTAGAAAAAGAGATGAATATTTTCGACTGTTCAAACCAAATCCAAGGTGATACGCCATGGCGTTCTTACCCTTTGCTCAAAAACTTTAAAGCACGTGCCCATTTTAGCATTAACACAACGATATCACGAAAAGGGAGTTTAAGTCCTGAGAATTTCAGCTTGGCACGTTATTCTGTGTTAATATTAATGTCCGTTTGAGACTAGAGAAGCTAAGTCAAGTTAGTAATCAACTGGTGTTAAATTGTCCTAGTATATTACGTAATATGTTATGTGATTCATACATGTAGTTATATATCCATATATGTACGTATAATACAGGAACGATGATATGTAAATGTAAAATTGATGAACTCCTATGAACTTTGTCATCGTTTTTGTATTTGTTGGTTGTTTTTAATATATTTTTTATAAAACATTGTAATTGTTTTCTCTTCATAGGTACCATTTAAATTATTTATTAGAGACTAAATGGTGAAGATTTTTTCATGAAAGTTGTGCCTTACGTAGCATTCAAACTAATAAGTGACTTCCTTTTTGTATATTTGGAATAAAGAACTGTTCATGATTGGTCCGGGTATGATCATATCCAAGAATGAGTTTAAAAGAATATTGAAAACAGCATTTTCCTTTTTACCGTCATTTATTTCATGGGAATACATTGTGAGTAAATTGTTTCCCGATCTGCTCTTTCTTCGGTCAGTTCTTGATCATTTTAATCCTCCAAGGTCAAATGATTTCCACATTGTGTGCCTAGTTTGTGTTTCGCGGTCTTTTTTTGTCTTGTCTCTCTAAGTTACATGTAGTAACCAGTATTTTTGAAGAGTTTCTAGTCCCAATCTAATAAATGTTGGCAGCTGCATGCTAAATACGTGCACATAATGGCGAAGAATTTCAGTTTCTAGAGATTATTAATATTGTTTTTAGTCACTTTACAAGTGCTCATTTTATTATTAAGGTTTCTGCCAAAATAATGCAGCTGTTTTGCTTTACAATGCCATTAATGTTTTTAGTTTGACTGCACTCTCTAAATGTATATTTAATAAAACATTTTTTTATAATTTTTGGATCAAATACTTTCCTTGGCACGACATCATTACTATGCATGCACTCCCCCGACTGTGACGTCAGTATTGCCGATATGACCACGTGATATGGACGTCACGTTTAAAGATAGCACAGTGACGTAGGCAACCGTCTGTTCTATTGATTTTATTGACATATTAAAACTAAAACTAAAAACTAAAACTAAACATACTGACCAAATGAAAATATTGGTGATATAACGTTTAATACATTCAACAAGACATTTTAGAATTCCATTTGGTATTCGCATTGATTGTGAATGCCGGGAATTGTTTTAAAGAGTAACTGTAGTGCTGCAATATTTTTCAAGTAAAGAAAGATTGATAAATAAAACACTCCAAAAAATCACAAAAAAATATTTTTTTGCAAAAATACCGAAGTTGTAACCTTTTTACTAAATTTCACACCTGAGCGCAAATCGGAAAATCTCCGATTTTGACCTACGACCGGAAATGACGTAGCAGCGGTGACCCAAACTCAGGTAAGCTCGGGTAGCCTTTACGAAACACTATCAAAACATCTTCGTCATGTCCGTGATTTACAAAGAAAACACGCCGGTATCTGGCTGTGGTCGACGTTGTGTTGCAGGAGAATGCTCCAATACTACTATCAATGGAGTTTCCATGCATACTTTTCTTGCAAAGAGACGTGATATTCACCGACAATGGGTTGCTTTTGTGAGAAGAAAACGCAAAGATTGGGAGCCGACTCGTCACACAGTGTTGTGCAGTGCCCACTTCGAGGAAGATTGTTTTCCACTGAAATTCTTGTTAGGACTGTTGGAATCAAGTGGGAAGACTGAAGAGGACACTAGAAGAAGAACCGTCCCTATTATTTTCAATACTGCAACGACACCGACTATGCCGACACCTGGTCATTAGTTTACTATGATACACTAATAGTCCAGTGACAAATGCCGGTATTTCGTTCGCGTTAGATAAGCGTTTTTACTAAATGGCATATCTAGCTGTCTGCAAGGGTAGACATTTTACACGTAATTAAGATGTCAACAATCGCATGTATTGGGTGTTATTGCAAATATTTAGGCGAGCTTTAAAAAATGTCGTTATGAGGACGAATTTGTCATCAGCAGAATGACAGCACACAACATACTACGCGTAGTATTTTTTTGGAGAGCGTCAGATTTCTGCAAAGTGCATTTTTTATATACCGTATAACTCTAATATTATATCGATTTATTGGGTTATATCTTGCATATTCAGAATATATGCAAGTAATATACAGACCTTATAAAGGAAGCGTAAAAAATAATCCATACAGGTTATATACAGAATCTATTTATAAGTAGTAACCATGACAATGTACAGCCCATACATTGTAAACTTTATAATACATTGCAGTATTCGTAGTTGATTTACCATGCATATTATTTGTTTTACAGGTCGATTCTGTTGTTTGTTAACCAAGTACGAAGGTGTATCATAAGTGTAACAATAATAGCGAATGTTATATCGACGAAATCATTTCACACTCTTAGCACCAACACCTGAAGAACCCTGAACTTTACGACATAATTGTTTTCTGAGGTAGTGTTTTCTATAGCAACAAACTGTCATTGGTCACTCAGATTGAAACATGTCCAGCATAGTGCATTACCTGTCACCGCTTCAGTAATCCAGACGTTGTCATGATCAATGACACCAGATGTAGTCTAGTCATTCTAGCTGAAATATGGCATAACCTCAAACAAATTGCAACAGAAAAGTTTTGGTATTTTTCTGAATTAATAACATATGGACATCACCAGATTTCTTTTTAGAAAATTATGATGTGGGGAAAATTGTTTACTTCCGGTTTAATTATCACCCCTTGCCAATTTTCTTTCGTTTTGTCTGACACTAGCTTTAAGCTTAGACGATCAAAATAGACATAAAATCAAACTATTTTATGACTTGAGGGTTTATATTTTGTTCACAAAAGCGTATTATTGCATAAATAATTATATGCCCATAACAATATGGAATTAAAATGGCTGATCTTGTCCGACTTGTTTAAGTTTTACACAATGTTGATGGTAAGATTGACATCCAGGTTTCACTTTGAAAAGTAAAAATTATTTCAAAAGTCATCCAAACCCAGCAATGGCACTAGTTGCTTAAAATATGTCTTGAAACTATAAGCACTCATTGCCAATATGACAATCAGTGTCAAGGACTGCTTCTGCGTTGGAACAACTCAATCCTTTGCACTCTTCACATGCCTGTGAACATTCCAAACTATGCTTTCTGCACGTACATCGTTTCGAGTCACAGTTAGTTTTGCAGTGCAAATTCCCAATCAAAACAATTCACAATAAAGAAAGATGCATGACCCTAAGGTTTTTAACACACACACTTGAGCAGCAAAAACATCATTGTTTTTTACTTTCATAAAACATACATTACATTTACTCCCATAACATGAGAGGCCGCTGGTCGGCCTTTTTTTTCTATCGGATATGATTTTGCCGACTGCGACCTCTCATTTCCGAAGCACTTATTCTTTGATGCAGTTTCCGCCCGAAATCCGGGCGGAACAAAATCGGCTTGAAAAACTCACTTAAGTGGTTAACAGTTCATGACAACGATATCTACTCACGGTTTATATAATATAGATCTCATATGTATGTCACAGACACAAATATGTAGTATATTACGGAATAGAACACTCAAAATACATGTCCATGTCGTTGTAGCACATCTCTGACCTACACTTAAAACATGACTTCCTGGATTAATACAAAATAGCAGGGGGGATTTCAAACGGAACGAAATGATCCGAAGTTTGTATTCCGCTTGTGAAACATTACATGTAATCCATTTTTGTATTAACCGGAAAAATCATGGCAAATGCTGTCTGCTTCGCTTCGAATGATGAAAAACTCATTATTTATGTCTTTGACACGAAATTTTTCTCATATAATCATGGATTTATGGAAAGGAATATTTATTGGACCCTTTTGACCATTTAAATGTATGTAAACACGATGTACTCTTTCTTAATCCGAACTTTGAAAATGTGATCGTCAGCATCGGGAAAATCAGCTATGGGCAGTAAGAGGTTACGCGGCGCCTGACAAAGGTTTTTCGCCGTGTAAAACCTCTAACATTGTACATTGTTGGAGAAACATTACATTGTACCTTGCACAGAAAAATATAGATAAGTATTAAGAGACACAGTAAACTGTGGATGGTCAAAATAATGGACAGTTCGTTATACTTAAAAGATGGTTCACAAAACCTCTTCTATCTGATTATCACACAGGTACAGTTATAGGATTCTTTTTCTCTCAACTATTCCACTATAACTGAACTGGATAAAGCAGTACTAGATCATCACCTGTAATCTGACGAGGCTTATTTGATTGTTTACAGGTACTACACTACATGGTTATAGGAAATCATGCTTCGTACTTAACAAATATTTTATCATTACACTGGTGTTCAGAACAGAGTAATTTGCGTTTTGGCTGTGAAACATTTTAACAATTCAAGCAGTGTTTCTCTACTTGATAATACACATATTGAACAAATCCCCTCAAATTCTGCAAAATGGCATTGGGAGTTGGAAAATACGCTGTTAATGTTGCATCGAGGGCAGAACTGGGTCAGTATACCATGGACTGTTTTGTGAATACTCAAGCATTGTGCCATTTGGCAAGGATTACACAAAATGTACTAAAAAGTCGTTAAAAGTAAATAAACAACTTCACGAAAATGGGATATATACATGGTTTACATATGTTTCCCAAATAAAAAAATAAAAAAATATTAACTGTGACTTTCATCACGACCCATTCTTTGCAAAAAAGAAAAGGAAAAGGAAACTTTTGTTTAAAAAGTCGATACATGCGAAATTTGAATCTTACTTTTTTGAAAAAATGCATAGTTTGGACGAAAATAGTAAGTTATTTCTATACAGTAAAATTAAAAACAAGGTATGCAGAGGAACACTACCTATCGTTACCCAACTTTGAACATAGAAAATTGATGGCAAAGCTGAGACTAAGCAACCACAATTTAGAAATTGAAGCTGGTAGATCTAAATAGATTCCTCGACAATCCCGACTATGTAAATTCTGCAATACTGTAGAAGATGAAGTACATTTTATATTTAAATGCAAAATAAATTTAAACATCAGGACTATGTTTTTCCAAAAATTAAAATTAACCCATCATTGCCTGATCTACAAAATTTAATATTAATATTGTCATCTAATGACCCACAGCTGTTGCAGGAAATAAGCCTCTTTATTAAAAAGTCATTTGAACTGAGGCAGGCAGGCTTGCAGAATGCATAAGTATGTAGTTTTTGCTGTCCATTATATAGTATCAATGTTTGTTTGATGTTTGCAGCTCGATCCTTGTAAATGGGATGTAAAAATGCAATAAAATTGATTGATTGTTAATGAAGCTTTGGTTACTTGAGGTAAAACTGCCACTAACTTTGACCTGTGACCTTAGAACTAAACCAAGCAGAACTCACCCTGTACGAAAACATAAGTTGCCAAATACATATAGCCTTTCCCGGCGTAACCTATTTACAAGCAATCCACGTAAATGAAAACATGTGTGTGGAAGCGTTATGCAGGTTACGCAATCAACTGTACTGTTTACATTTGATCTATGCCCTGTTTCATAAATGTCCTTTGGGGTATATGTATCTATATGTGTACATTGGATATGACACCGGACTGACACGTGTCTACATGACATGGACATAGCACTCCGATTTCAGGTCTCCAACTGTACTCTATAGTACACATGTGGACGGTATTTTGTTCATCCCAGCTATGGCAAAGGTAGGCTGACAGTATTCTTAGTACTACTAGAATATTTCATGTCACCTCTCCACTCTATGAACTGTGGTTACAATGTACCTTAGGTCACCTCCCCATTTATTTGCTGGTGCTACTTCATGTAACTTCTCCACTGTATGCACCTTAGCTGCCTTAGGTCACCTCTCCCCTCTATGTATCATGGCTATCATAGATACCCTCTCCCCTCTATGCACTGTGGCTGACTTAGGTCACCCCTCCCCTCTATGCACTGTGACTGCCTTAGGTCACCCCTCCCCTCTATGCATTGTGGCTATCATACAATGTAGATAACCTCTCCCCTCTATGTACTATGGCTACCTCAGATCACCTCTTTATTTCTTGTTCTGGTGGAAAATAAAAACATCTTTGTCAATGGTTTGGAAAGAGTTTGGAGAGACAAAGAACTGTTTTTAATGTTTAAACATGATTTGAGTTACAAGAAAGCACATAATTCAAGTATGAGCATGAAAATGGTTTCGGGAATAGAAGTCATGAGCATCAACTGATAACATCCACTTCTTGATCAAACTTCCTGTTTTAGATAACTGTCGAACCCCTAACGCTATTCCCGGATCAGACTTACAACAATAACTTTCATTCATTGCTCAGATTTTCATCATAATAACTCATTTCTGGATAAAACTCCCACCTGTAACGCATGTGTCCAAGTCAAACTTCTATCAGTAACACCCGTTAATGGATAAGGCCTACCGAACCCATTCTCGATATCCAGGGGTTACGCTCACTTTCGCTCTCTTCACCCCTGGAATGTGTTATAGCAAAATCGAATGCTCAGTGTGCAGCATTAATTGTGGATGAGATGAGAAAACTAGTTTGGCCTTATAATGTATATCAAAAGAATATCGCGGTCGCATAACGGTAAAAATTGACAGGCTTTGAAGTCGGGCGTCGCTCCTTTGTAATCTTCAAAGGATAAGTATCAGCCTAGTGATTGGTCAGGGTTTTTTTTTACCTGACACCAATCAAATAGCTAGCCGCGTGCCTTCGATTTTGCTATGACATATTCCAGGGGTGTAGAGAGCGAAAGTGAGCATAACTCCTGGATATCGAGGATGTCACGGCCCCCATGGCTCAGACTCCCGCCATGAAATGCAATCCCCCGGTCAGAAAACCCACTGCCACGTCTTACTACGGGGCAAACCCGTCCTCCCTCCCCACACCGTAGCTAGAATACAACTATTAACTTTACCCTCTTGTTTATCCTATATTTACAGTTGGTCTCTACCTTGGAAATATAAAGCTGTAGTCTGAATACTGTGACCCCGCAAAGTTTTATTCAATCATGACCAGGAATTATCGTTTCTACAGTTACATCGGGGTTTATATAAATAGTGACAATTAATATGTGACCTCGAATCCTTCATCTGTCACTTCAAATCACTGGGTCAAAATGTCCAAGCATAGCGTGCCGCCTGGAGCCTCCTCCTTACCACACCTTCATAGATTTAAAAGGTCAAACAGTTATAACTGTGAACTTGAAACCGAATAATTATGTTGGTCTCAGTGTGCACATAATATAATTATATACCAATTTCCAGTCGTTACTTCCGTGTTATAAGATATTGCGTTAATTACATTGTTTATGCCAAATGTGATTTTTCTTATAACTTAGTAAAGAAAAATAATTTCAATGTATTCGGTAGATGGGGTCAAGATTGAGAGACGCGATAGCTCGTCGTCTACGGAAGCCCGATGCACTCTCGTCGGACGATTGGTGAAGGTAGGTCAAGAATTAACATAGCAATGATTCATAAAAAAGTGAATAGTGATAGCCTCTTCGGACAAGGATTCTAAACATCCATCCACCAATCAACCTAAACGATACCATTGTCGATTCTTCACAATGGTTATCATGTTTATCTTTTAAAATATTATATTGTTATATTTTCGCAAATCTCGTTTGAACAACCCTGGTGATTAATCTTCCTGTTACATCCGGCGATTATTTTCCAGTTCACGTCTTTAGATAGGTTTTCCAACAATATGTTTGAATTTATCTATTTTTGCAAAATGTTTTTTTTTCGGGCATTCTGGAAGTAACAAGTAACTGCAAAACATTTATTGTTGTTAATTTCAGATTTTTTTGGTGAAGAGTGTGCCAATTTAGACAGAGAAGCGGTACAACTGTGTAAAATACAACTGGACCATCAAGTGTTAGAGCTCGGGTTTGGTCCAGGTATCGGAATTGAAGCCGCTTGCCAACTTGTCAAAGGTACGCTGATATTCCCTCCATCACTCCTTGTTTAGTATTTCAAACACAGACGCAGGAGAGCTTTGCATTTCATTTTTCCGAGACTTTGCTTGCCTACACGTTCACGTCCGCTCCATAATTGGAAAACTAAAGTTTGGTTCTAATAAGTCCATTTGCCAAAGTCAAACTCCTTAAGCTTTGCCGTGAACCTGAAGCTGGAATTTACTCCGAAAGAAAGCCTATCTCTTGACTCATATTTAACCATAAATAGATATAAGCAATGACTGCACATATAAGCAGTCAGTACTATCAACAAGGGGCGAAGAAAACCTTCTCATACAACACCAGAATTACAAGATTCCCTAACAAATTGACGCATAAATGTTACAAGAATTATTTACAAAACTACATACGAAGGTCTTATTGTGTATGAAATATAAATTTTGTATCAATTAGATTCCAATCAATAAAGTAGCTCAATCAACCCCATATATTAAAGTTGAGATAGAAATTATTTCGAAATCAGTATAGAAATAATAAAAAATCAAAGTACTGAGAGTACTGAAAGTACTGAAAGGCTAAACATATTACGTTGTCAATTTACATCATCTTTAAGCTTTAAGGGCACCATCAAGCTAAGTCTGATCATACAAGTCATTATCATAAAATATTGAAGTGGGGGATTTCAAATGAAATTTACGAACAATAGAACAACATTTTACAACCTTGATCGCACCCTTAGTTATTCTTTGCTCGGTTAAGACTTAATATAAAGAACAAGTTAACAAAAGAAAGTGCAACAAATTAAACAATATAGGTGATTCAGATATTTTATTTTTACATTTATGATTATATTATAAACATCATGTGTTACCTCTGTCTATGAAAAAGTTTTCCAATGGTACTGTGAATGTAGCTGAATAGCATGCCATTGTGAAGACTTAAGATTTATATTAGTAAATAAAATATATAAAAGAATATCTGTAAATAACATTGGATTGTTTGGAAATATAAATACAAAATCTACACAAAACAGGATTTTACATGTACTTAAACCAAAAGTTTGTAAAATAATATTTTTTTTTAGTTGAGTGATCTTTTATAATCTTCCTGAAAACATTGACCCTTATGAAAAATCTGCTATAAGAAGTTGCATCTGTGTAATTACATTGTATTTTAACTACCAAATCAATTAAATGATGCAAATAAATCCAGTACCGAGATATCGAACCCCGAAGTGCGCAATTTGCACCTGTCGATCTACTGCTAATCAGCGTACTGGTCACTTACGCTGAATAAGAGCTTTTCAAGTCTGGCTGTGACGTCACAAGTTCAACCAGCGGCAGCCAGTAGAGAGTGATAGCTGTACGGAGCCAGATTGCAAATTGAAAACAGATTTTGAGGAATTGGATTATGGCGAAGATGATCAAAATGAAAGAAATAAAAAGTTCTACAATTGAAGCTTAAATTTATATAGAATGCCATGCATAATTTACATTAGATTTACAACAGAAGCGTTTCAAATACGCGTGTCAGTCACGGTTCGCCTTATACGGGTTTGGGTTTATCTGTTAAGTTAATCGTATATCAATAAAAACAACATCATAGTGTTACTGATAAATAATTATTGGTTTTGAGTGCCGTTATCTATCACTGTTAGTTGCACGTCAGCCATGTTTAATCTGTTAATTAGTGTTATATTTATATTTATATTTATATGTCACGTAAACGATTAAAAAAAAACGAAGTCAAGACACTGAATAACACATACATGTATAGATATGAATCAATTTCCCTTTGTAAATGTTTTTGTTGACAAGTATGAGCATCCCCCTTCCCCGAGTACGAGATTTCAAAGGCGTTTGCTTAAAAAAATTACTTTTCGTACTTCCACGAACATATATATTAGATATATACAAGTCCGTGGTATTTCATGGCTCTCAGCTAATATTACATAAAGGTCCTTAAAAAAATGAAAGGCGTAGTTTATTTGTATTACATCAGAAATATATTCAAATTATATATGTTCCAGTAGATCTATGTATGTCGTTGAAGAAAACAGCCATTACATTGTTTAGGGGCCGGGTGAACGAGTAGGATGTTGGACCGGGAGAAGCCGGAACGACTTGATTCGTTTTTATAGAATGAACACAATAGGAACATTTCGTAGGTCTTTCCCACTTTCAACAAACTGTACGCATTGTTTCTCAACACTAACGAGTTCAAGGGAATTGCGTGGAAATGAGACACTATTTGCATGCGTGTTCCGACATCCATACACAACACGTGTTGTATTCCTCCTCGATACGAGCTCCTTCCACAACACCTCAGCGTTAAAATAAATGTCTATGGGTGTGTAATCACAATAAAAAGAAGATGAAAACTTTGCTAATCACATGACAGACACGTATATCACGGTACATATCGCTCTTCTTTGGTAAAATCTAATAGGGTTGAGTTGACCGCGTTGCACTTGTGACGTCACAGGTCTGGGACACCGAAACGGGGTCATTGCTGTGGGGCCACAGGTGAGATTTTAAGAAATATCGTGATTTCTCTGAAACGAAAGTCGCTATGTTTCTGTTTTATGACGTGGTGTATTTTCAAACTTAATATTGCAAATCATTCCGGGTACACTTTAAAGGGTGCATAAAATACTATCCATGTTGTGGTATTAAGTGTTCTATATCAGCTGTATTAACTATTGATTTCTTTTCAATATGTTATTTAATGAAGAACTAAGTGCAAATAAACAGAATGGGTTGTTTTTTCTTCGAAAAGTGTCATGGCGACTGTTTCGGGCGTGGGTCCAATATGCATGCATAGCCGACGTGCCAATTACTGAATGTACAAGGTACACTAAAATGTTATCATTCAACACATTGAAATAAATACCTGCTGAATCAAAATTCTTTATAAGTATAGGGCATATATTCCTTGCTCCGTAAAGTTGATGAAAAGAATTATTTTCTGTGTGATCAATGTAAATAGTGTCATGGTGGCCATGCGTGCATAGTGCTCGTGAAACGTCTAAATCCTCACTTCTCCATCGTTTTGAAAAATATTTGCTATTTAAAAATGTATTCTCACAGTATTCAATTGCAGACATCACATACGGTTGTGCTTACTTACGGTCTGAAAAGATCTTTTCTTAGGCGTAAAATGCGAGCAGTTGATAGTCGATGCACAGGGGCTTGTATAAACTTATATATGATAAAATAGCTTGAAATACCTATATAGAAAGTCTTCATATACTGTTTTTTCAAGCTAATTTTACATACAAGTCTATACAAGCCCCTGTGGTCGATGTCAGCTCTCTTCAGCTGCAGCAGAAAAAGTGAATCTCCGAAGAAAACCGAAGAAGTCCGAAGAAATTTTACGATTATTTTGGAAGCTCTGGTTTTTTTTCTAATATCAGAAGATTTTTTAAAATTTAATTATGCATCAATATTGACATGTTTCAAATCCACAATGACAATGTTGGTTTGATAATACGTTTCTAGTTTGACCGACTTGCGACACAACAGTGCAAAGTCAGTCATCCCATAATCCAGTTCGCCCCGCCATATTGTCAACGTATCAGAAAATTAATATAAACTAGAACAATGTCAGTTTATGTTTGACGTGTGTGTCAATCAGAAAAGTGTCAGAAATGCGTGACTTTTTTTATAGGGTAAGCTTCTTGTTTATTTATTGTTTGTCTCGCAGCAATTGTATGTATGCAGAAAACCATTTCGAGTAAAGGCGGCAGACCGTTTACACATTTCAACACTAGATGGTGTTAGTAACTTGTTGGAAGATTTAGACCAATCAGAATGCTAGGATTGTAGTTGTACACAGGCTTCAGAGGCGTTGACAATAGGCTGCAACGTAACTGCGTTACGTTTATTCTAAAAACCACCTAAGGTGGACTTAATCTTTTTGATAGAGACATTTTAAGGTGAAACTTTTATAATTCTTCAAAAACACGCTATGTATATTGTTTAAATAGCAGAAAGTTTTCTGAAAAACGGTTAAGTATTTTGGAGCTTGTTGAATGCAGATTGACATAATTCACTTAAAGCGAACAATACCCATTCATTTTTATTTTCATTTATTTGTTTTGTTTTATCTATTAATCTACATTGTGATACGATACTATGTCAATGCAAATACTGTTAATTTGCATGAAATATTGAAGTATGTGTTCCTATCTTTATCCCCTCTCACTTCTCCATATGTACATTGTATTAACATGTAAATATGTTGATATATATACAAAAATCATTTGTCACCAAAGGGTATCCTTGTCTCATTCACCTTGCGAAATGTACTTGTAAAATATCAGGTAAAAAGGATAATGTCTATTCCATTTAGGAACCACTTGACTATGGTACCGATATTCATAAAAGTATTTAAGTGTTGTTCGAATTTTTCATTAACACTACAATTTAACAATAACAAGGACGAGTGTAGATCATTTGTACAGGGCAAGATAAAAAGATTTACTATTTGCCAACATTGTGAGATATGTTATGTTGTCTCGATTAAACAGAAAGAAGTGTTATATAGGTAGATCATTGCCACCGGAATGAGGTAAAACTGTTTGCTTAAGCCTTGGAGATCCCGATAAAACCTTCTTTTTTTGCAATTGTGATCAATTAGCCGACATTTCTGCTGAGAATCTTTAAAGTATTGTTGTTTTTTCTTCAAAATAATGTGCACCATGCCGCGACGTATAAGAAATATCGTCCGTTGTATGCATCTTCGCAATCCAAGGGAAACGCTCTCGATATCAATTTGTTCTATGTACCCTCGAAAATGTAATTACATAATTGAAGGTTCATAATCAGCTATTTAATTTGGAACAGACCTCAGACACTCAGTAACTGCAATGTTGTAAGACAGTCGTACATGTGCTTTAAAGAAGCTCGTTAATGTTATCGTTACGCCGCCGCTTGATTTGCTTTTATCTTTTAATCAATGCATTATTCTGAAAGTATTCAGAGGGTATCATCTCGTATAGTAAGTAAGTTGGTGTGTAGCAGGACTCCAGTTCTGTGAGGAATGTAAACAGTGCAGTATAGATACAGACAGACAGACATGCAGGTGCTTTCCTCATTACAGACATTTTATAAAAGCATTTGAACAACACTAACTCACTCCTTGGGTATACGTACTTTGGACTGAAGAACACTTCATATTACATGATGAAGAAACAAGATACACCTTGACAAGAGAAATAGTAATAGTTGAGAGCCTACAACGGCGGTCAACTATTTCGTAGGTTGGGCATATCACTTGTGATATATTATTAACACTTATTGTGTTGCAATAATAACGCTAAATAAACAAAGATGTGCTTCAAAAAACATCTTTGATCTATGTTACCAATTTCATTCACGACATACATTGTAGACTACTTGGCTAAATACATGTATACATGTTTATTGTGAGTTTTTGCAATAAACTATAGTATTTCTTGCATCATAATTGCATCATTCCTGGACACACATCATATGCTCCAAAATTGCTCTATGTTTGTGTAATTGTTTGTCTTTTTATGAACTGTTTGTGTCAGTCTAGAATGTGAATGCTTCCTACTTGTACGTTTCGACATTGTTTACATTGTACAACAACGTTTAGCCGAAGACAAACGTCCAGCTTAATTGGACCTAGTTTAAGGTTTCGAGCAAGATTTACGTTAAAGATTTTGAACAAGACGTTTTGTCAACATTCAATAGGATGTTGATTATCATAGCATTGAGGCATTTATATGGAGGGTAAGCAATAGACTGAACCTTACTTTTATACGTATTGCCTAATGCAGCTTATTTGGACTTTTTTAAATTTTATGACAAGGTTTTGTGCAGTGTTTAATATAACAAGGTCGAGGTCTTGTTATAGAGAATAAACAATATGCTGAACAATTACTAGAGGCTAAAACAGCTTACATTAATTTCAACTAGATGTGGAGAAGTTTATATAGCTTTGCTCCTTTTATATATTTGATTTAATTTGTATTAAATTCAAAGCTTATTTATTGCATTTCAATAATAAATCGTAATTTTCGGATATACATGTATATATAATATTTTGTATAATTACCAACATTGTAAAACAGAAAAATGGATGCTCAAAACAACCATAACAGTTCAGCAACCTACATCATATCATGATACATGCATTTCTATTGATATTTACTAACTTAAAAAGTATCACAAAAAGTCGAGCTTTGCTGATCTCTAACAGCTCTTGTCAAAAATGCAGATCTAGCGCTAGTCGGTTTGTATCCGTCTCTGTCATAATGAAACGGACAAAAAATTGTAGCAAAAGTAAATCCAAATGACGTACTGTAAATCGAACTCCCAAGTAAATACGAAGCTCCATGGTCATAAGTAATAATCGGTTTGGTAACCATCTTAAATCTATTTATATACAATCATAATCAACGTTGTACACTTCAGTTCGTCCCCGCCAATTGTCTTTATTGCAATATATTGGTTTTATTGAAAATATGATTATTTACTTAACTATCAACATAACTGAAATTCTTTTCTTGGCTTTTTGATTGTTGATACATGTATCATGTACGATCAATATATTATTCAAATTATTTTATTGGATACTTTGCAGGTAAAAGGTAAAGTTTATGGAGTTGACTTCTCGGACGAAATGGTTATCGCCGCGACAAAACGTGTGAAAAAAGACATCGACGATGGAAAGGTGGAACTGATCAACGGTGATGTAACAGACCTATCATGTTTCGCGTCCAACACATTTGACCGAGTTTTCCATTGCAACTGTTACTACTTCTGGCCAGACATGGATACGATTACAAGTGAACTTCATCGTGTGGAGAAATTAAATTCACGTACGAACAAAGCGCTTGAAGGACCTAGGCCTTTTTCGATATGGTAATCCTGATCAAACGCGCTACATTTATTCTTTATTAACTTTAAGCTTTCCAGCTCATCAGTGTACATGTTACAATATAAATACATTGGCAGACACTGCAAAACGCAGTGGAGAATGGACAAAAGATTTGAACACATTTAAATGTCATTATATCATAGTCTTCCTCAATTTAGTGGCATCATATATATATTTGCTAAACCTGGTTAGTTCTTTTACATTTGTTGAGCACAGTAATTCATGAAAGCAATGGAGTCATGTGGATTTCGCGATGTCCAGTTTGAAGCATTAAAAGACGACGATTCTGGTGCAATTTATGATGCCATCATTGCGAAAAAAATGTGAAAACTGAAAATCACAAGGCTTATATTTGTTACAAAGTTGAACGTTTACTTTATGATACTATTGCACATAGCTTCACACTTAATACATGTAGCATAATCAACGATCTTGTGTTCTGTCTGACTGTTCCAAATGGTTCCAATTAAATTCGTAATTTATTGTACGCATTTCTTCGTCATTAAGACGGAAAATAGTTTTTAACATTTGTTACTCACATTAACATGTAATATATACATATTGTAATTATTCATCTTTAAAGACCTGCTGGCGCCGTCTTAGAACGTTTTGGATCTACGTACATGTACCTGCGATGTTATTTAAGGAGATACCATTACTGGTGCTAAAGCATTACACGTGCAATATCATTACTGCGGCCAAATCATAATTGGTGCAACATCTAATTTTTGGCGTTTCATTTGTGGGACGCCACCATTAGTAATATCACATCTGTATTAGTGCTACATCTTAAGCGGCGTCTTATTATAACTGAAGCCACATTATTATCAATGCCTCATCATAGCATGGTGCCACATCGTCATTATTGTGACACATCATTATGGAGCCAAAGCTTGCCACATCATTATTGTAGTCACATCTTAAGCAATTACACATTTTAACAAATCTGGTTTTTTTGGTGACTTTTTTCAAATTTTGTCATTTGTTCATGTAAATAAGTGGTAACGTTCCATTTAACAACAACAAAACCCCACCAAACTCATGCATGGTTGAATTATATAAAACTTAACAGTTTGGAGGTATAGAATCCTACTTACGGATGATGTTTAGAAATAACGTATACTAGTACTATTGGTTATACTTACAGCGTTTGGCATCGGAGGCAATTTTTGTCAGACCACCAAACCACTAAAACTGTATGTAAATAAATAGAAAGAGAGGAATGAAGAGGGGGAAGAAAGAGAAAGGAGAAGGAGGAAGGGGGTAACTTATTGTTGCTCGGTAAATGACATGCGTATTACAGTACCTGTATAATATAAATCGACGGGGGTCAAAGTCAGTTAAGAGGAAAAGGTGATTAAAACCGATTGAATAGCTTGGTTCTTGTTTTTTAAATTGTTGGATTCACATAGCAAATATGTGACCTTTTTATTTTTTAATTGCACAAACCAATGTGAATAGGATCCTTATTTGACTGGTGGCAGAGTGATTCAGTCATCTGATCGTCTTCGATCACTTACCATTATCCTCCGAGTCGTGGGTGTGAAATTCACGAGGGGCAGTCATCAGGTAATGACCGCAATTCGCTGGGGGGGGGGGGGGGGGGGGGGGCCGTGCACCTCCGTTTCTTCCATCACCAAAACCTGGCGCACGTTCTTAAATTACCATACATGTGTAGCTGTTTATTGGACGTAACATAAAAGTTCACGTTTTTAAGTTACAATATTTTCACTTATTCATTTAATGAGGAGGATTCATTAACGCATGGAGGAGGTTGACAGTCATTCTAAACGTGTGTAAAATTATAACGTTACAGATGGTTTATAGATACCTTTACCATTGTGTACAATTGTAACGTTACAGATGGTCTATCTCTGCATATATAACACTTTACACGGGGATTTTTTACCTTCAGTATTACAAACGAGTCTTTAATGGACAAATCGATCATATGGTGCAGTAAAATTGCTTGCTTTGTTTGGCTTTCTGTAAATACATACAAAAATTATAAATAAGCGTTTCATTCGTATTCCTAGTTATTGTTCTAGAGCAGCAGCCGACAACGGATAAGGTAAATATGTATTACAGAAAAATGGGACGAAATCAGTTGAATTATTTGCTAAATTGAAAAGATTAAACTATTATTATAAGCTAATGTGCAAAACTATCAGTGACATGTTAAGTATACACAGTAATATAAAGTACAAACACGTATACAGTGTATGAGATATACCCCGGATAAGTGATGCACTGACGGACTGACCGACGAACGGATAACTAACATGTAGTCCCTTCCAGTAGTTCAGTATCAATGGGGATTAATAAATCACAAAAACTTTTTTGCATCACTACACCACATCCGTCTTTTCAGCATTTAAGTGCTGCAATTAATCATGAACATTTATAAAAAGGATAATTTCAAACTTTCTGAGAAATGTATATGGAACAATATTTTACACGTTTTAGAAAACTGAACAAAATATTTATTGAATTGTGAAAAGAAATAACAAACCCTATGAAATAATCATTTTAAGAGAAGTTTTTATGTGACAAAAGACCAAATAAAGTAATTAGTGAGTAAACTCAGAAAAAGGGAAAATATAACAACCAAACATCATTCAATTTCCTCTAACGTGGTCAACTAAAGTTAAAAACAAATGAATTCCTCTCCCCTTTGTTATCTATGATCATCCTATACAATGGTACCCCGAGTTAATCCTAATACAGGGCTTACAAGGAATAACAGTTATAACACACAAAGGCACTGTAGTCTAGTGGTAGGACGCTGGGGTCGTGACCGAAGGGTTGCGAGTTCGAGTCACGGCACGACAATGTGTATTATCTTTGAGCAATATACTTTACTCTGCTTGTTCCAGTCTACCCAGCTGTAATTGAGTACGTGGTTGGGCAGTGCTAGAAATGTAGAATGCTAGCTGTGAGCGCCGAAATGGCAGCACCGGCTGTATGCTTCACAGGGAGTTGAGAAAGATAATGGCTGGTTGCAAAGGCCCTACATTTATAACCAAGGATAATCATTTGTGAACCGCTTTGAGACGACCTACGAACTAGGTTATCATAGAGCAGTTTATAAGAACCTCGAATGATTATTGTTATTTTAATCTCCAAACAATATTATATGGTAATAAAGTATAATATTCCTATAACCACTGTAGGTTTCTTCCTCACTCACGACGTATCGGATACTAAAAGCGGAGTATGTAATATTACATCTGTATCTTCTGCATCACATCTGTCATAGGGCTTAAAGCCTATATTAAAGTTTTCTCCATATTACAATACAATTTATTCAAATTATATCCGGTAATTGATAGAAATAGAAATTATGTAATATACAGTAGGATAAAGTTTATCATTTATTTTAACATTTTACTTAATACATTTTTTTGTAGTTAAATTGTAATACATGCTGCTTTATACAAATACAACTGAGGGATAAGTGCCGAATCAACCACCGAGTTTCTGACTGTAAAGCCCATGGGTTCTTCACCGATAGTCTTAGCTCCCAGCCACACATGTAAAAGTGCATGCTATATTTGTATTTCTTTAATGTTTACGAAAGATGAAATCAAAACAATAGGTATATCAATTAACTATAATTTTCACAAGTCATCAGTGTTTATCAAGGTACGCAGCTCCTCAAGATTTTTCATCATATTTAATACCAATTCGCATCTACAATTATTGAAATATGACTTCAAAAATATAATCATTCATCATCTATGTATGTATCGCTCGCTGTATGTAGTTTATAAAAGTGTCTGAGATAGGGGAACATCAATGAACACAATGTATTACCATGTATATATTCAATTTTCTGCCTGTAAATACTATTTCAGAATGTAAATAATTCGCACTCGTAGTACATAGAACATATGTGGATTCGAAGGCTTGTTTAAATATAAAATATAGATAAAACATACTGTGAGCATGTACTGTTAAACAATTTATACACAGTACATTTATTAACATCACAGGCAAAAAAACTCGACAAGCATTCTACTTTTCTAATGTGTAGCACATGGAATCGAGACACAATTGGTGCGCGTTACGTGTCCAATACAAAACAACAAGCATGGCAACAAATCAAAGTTTTTCTTCTTTACATCTAAAATATTTTTTCGCAAAGATTGCATCATAATTTGCACCAGATTGATCGCTTTTTAATGTTTCTAACCGAACATCACAAAACCCACCTGACTTTAAAGCGTTCAGATAGCGTGCTTGATCAGGATTACCATACTGTAGAAAACCCTTGTCCTTTAAACGCTTCACTCGCTCGCTACTCATCGTGGTTACAATGACTGCATCTGATTTCATCACACGATGGAGTTCACGTGCTACTTTATCAATATCTGGCCAGAAATAGTAACAGTTACAATGGAAAACACGGTCAAATGTGTTGGAGTCAAAACATGATAGGTCTGCTACATCACCGTTGATCAGTTCAACCTTTCCATCGTCGATGTCTTTTTTCACACGTTTCGTCGCGGCGATAACCATTTTATCCGAGAAGTCAACTCCATAAATTTTACCTTTCCCACCTGCAAAATATTTGATAAAATAACTTAACATATATATCGCATTAATAATCAAAACGCTAAAGCATTCATACATCACCTGGATGTATATGGTACACTACTGTACATCAGTATACTTGTTTTGAGTAAAATATAAGGATTACAGCAAAGGCGTGTACATTGTTCCAAACTGTGAACCACTTCAAAGTTGCTGTGATGTGTTAAACTTGTTCCAGGTTGATTATCATTATAGTTTTTTGTACGCCGATGGGAATCAAAACCATACGAAACGTCCTTTGATTTAGAGATTGGAAACGTAGCTCATTTTTAGTCAGAAATAGGCAGAATGATATCGTGCATCTGTGTTTAAATACCATTTAATACTTCCCCACAGGTGATGGAAGAAACCTCAGCGTACCTTTGAGAAGTTGGCACGCGGCTTCAATCCCGAGACCTGGACCAAACCCGAGCTCTAACACTTAATGGTCCGGTTGTATTTTACACAGTCTTACTGCTTCTCTTTCCAAATTGGCATTTCGCTTCACTAACAAATACTAAAATATACAAAATTAATGTTTTATTTTGTTGATGTTTATTTTTTCAAATGCATGGAAACAACCAATTAGTAAAATAAAATCTGAACACTTTAGCGTATTGTAATATACTTCCAGACAACAAGCCAGCACAAACTTGGACATCAGAATATGATGTGCAACACATACATGATTTTACATGGAGTAATAAGATATCAAACGAAATTTAAAAAAAAATGTCGTTCTAAGCGATCGGCGCGGGTTGATTGACAAATGTATAAGTACAATTTGGCACTGTCTAGTGAAAATAGGAACAATTGGCTCCAATAACGGAAGGCGAACACGGTGAATGCAACACTGTAACATGTAACATTTTGAGAGGGCGTTTCTAAGTTGAGATAACTTGTGCCTAATCCTTTTTGTTGAATGACAAATAAAATATATTTAAATCAAATGTAACACTGTAGTTACAATTTTCTTTGACATTTTCGGAAATGATTTATCTATTTTGGTTCTTGGCTTACCTTTACCAATCGTCCAACTAAAGTTGCGTCAGGCTTTCGTAGGTTACGGGCGATAGCGTCTTTCAATATGGACACCATCTACCAATACATTTCAAGTAAAGTATTTGGTGTTCAAAGTTTTAAAATGTTTTACCTCTTTAATTAATGAAAGTGCGGAAAGAGGGGAGAATTTTGACCCAGGGAAGGCAACTTTTGAAATAAAGGAAGCGTGTTCGATTAACATGACTTACTAAGGTCATCGTACTGACTACGGTCATTTGACGTACTAAGATCATCGTACTTACTTCGGTCACCTGACTAATGTAGCACAGCCAGTGCTACGACGTTATGTAATAGATTACGTGCATCGAGAATACCTCGATTAATCCAGGTTAAGTAGATATAATCTTAAAGTCTCAAATGACCTTCTATTCTGTGGGGCTTATGGACCCTTGAATATTGGCTAGCTTTATTTGCTAGCTTTGATTAGGAGTATCGGGAATAGCTCGGACAACGTTGTGTAATTGATTACGTATATCGGGAATATTAATCCAGGTTTCATAGATATGATCTTCAAGTCTCAACTGACTATCGATGCACGTGGCAATAGGTTACAATCGAGTATAAATATAACCTAGAAAGGGGAGAGCAGAGCAGAACAAGGGACAGCTAGAGAAGAGGCCAGAAGGGCTAGGGACAGCTAGAGATGGGCTAGAACTAGTACTAAGGTCATCGTACTTATTAAGGTCATCGTACTTGCTAAGGTCACCGGAATTACTAAGGTCATCGTACTTACCAAGGTCACCAGACTTACAACGTACTTCTTTCACAGCACTTACTTTGGTAACCGGGCTTACCTAGGTCATCGGACCAAACGTGCTTAGATTGTTTTGGGTCACAAGACTTTATAATGTGACTGTGCTACTTTCCGTCACCAGGTTTCCTTAGGTCATTATGTGTAACATTTGCAATAAGATGTTGCTGCTATAAAATGTTGACATACCTGAGGCAATCAGGAATCGTAAGTCTTTCTCTGTGTGGATGCTATATACACCCTATCATTCGTAAATTAATACGCGAATGATGGTTTATAATAAAAGCGTAACAGTTGTTATCTCACCCTAATATTACAGTTAAATCTTACTTTACATATGCCTGTGTACCACAAAACAGGAATGAAAACCATTTTCGTTGAAGAGATCCCTAACTGGAAGATATACTTCATTCGCTAATTGTTTACATATGTAGATATATACATGTATATTAAAAACTTACCATAAAACCTGTTTTCAGGAATTGGAGTGTCACAGTCAGGTACAATTTAGGTATTTCCTCTCTATCTTATCTGTTATGTAATGTAATGTATAAAGCACTTCAAGTGATCTGAACAAATCCGTTATACAATCTACCCTTGTACTATCTAGCTAGGTAACTGGCTTACTTTCAACAAACCTTCTGAAAGAGGCTATAGTCGTACGAATTTTCAATCCCCTAAGAAGTCATATTTAGAGACCGCAAGGTTGAGATCGGTATTCAGATGAGTAATATGAATGTATTGAACTCGTATATTAGCTATCGGAATGGTCAATAGCGTGGTTAACGAAGTCAATAATACGGCATTAAAACTAAGAATTTCATTTAAATATAATTGTAGTTCAAATGACTAACAGTTGTTATCTCACGCTAATATTACAGTTAAATCTTACTTTACATATGCCTGTGTACCACTAAACAGAAATGAAAACCATTTTCGTTGAAGATATCCCTAACTGGAAGATATACTTCATTCGCTAATTGTTTACATATGTAGATATATATATGTATATTAAAAACTTACCATAAAACCTGTTTTTAGGACTTGGAGTGTCACAGTCAGGTACAATTTAGGTACAATAGTCTGTATTTCCTCTCTATCTTATCTGTTATATAATGTAATGTATAAAGCACTTCAAGTGCTCTGAACAAATCCGTTATACAATCTATCCTTGTATTATCTAGCTAGGTAACTGGTCTACATTCGGTCGTCGGGCTATCATAGGTCGCTAAGGGGGACGTTTGCACTTTAACTGATATTTAAAGTAATTTGTCATTTTTTAATGTAAGTAGAAAATAACATGTCTATCTCTTTTGAGAGGTTAAAGGTCACGTCAGGTAGCCATATTAAAAAGAAGGGAAAGGTGACATGATGAAGCAAAAATGTATCATGTAGGGGTGTTGTGATATAATGCACCCACAGTACATAGAGGGGTGATGTGACATGATGTACCCACAGTACATAGAGGGGTGATGTGACATGACGTACCCATAGTACATAGAGGAGTGATGTGATGTGACATGATGTACCCACAGTACATAGAGGGGAGATGTGATGTGACATGATGTACCCACAGAACATAGAGAGGTGATGTGACATGATGTACCCACAGTACATAGAGGGGTGATGTGATGTGACATGATGTACCCACAGTACATAGAGGGGTGATGTGGCATGATGTACCCACAGTACACAGAGGGGTGATTTGACATGATGTACCCACAGTACATAGAGGGGTGATGTGACATGATGTACCCACAGTACACAGAGGGGTGAGTTGACATGATGTACCCACAGTACACAGAGGCGTGATGTGACATCATGTACCCACAGTTCATAGAGGGGTGATGTGACATGATGAACCCACAGTACATAGAGAGGAGATGTGATGTGACATGATGTACCCATAGTACATAGAGGGGTGATGTGACATGATGTACCCACAGTATATAGAGGGGTGTTGTGACATGATGTACCCACAGTACATAGAGGTGAGATGTGATGTCACATGATGTACCCACAGTACATAGAGGGGAGATGTGATGTAACATGATGTACCCACAGTATATAGAGGGGAGATGTGATGTGACATGATGTATCCACAGCATATAGAGAGATGTTGTGATATGATGTACCCACAGTATATAGAGAGGTGTTGTGACTTGATGAACCCACAGTACATAAAGGGGAGATGTGATGTGACATGATGTACCCACATTACATAGAGGGGAGATGTGATGTGACATGATGTACCCACATTACACAGAGGGGAGATGTGATGTGACATGATGTACTCACAGTACATAGAGGGGAGATGTGATGTGACATGAAGTACCCACAGTATATAGAGAGGTGTTGTGACATGATGAACCCACAGTACATAGAGGGGAGATGTGATGTGACATGATGTCCCCACAGTACCTAGAGGGGAGATGTGATGTGACATGATGTACCCACAGTACATAGAGGGGAGTTGTGATGTGACATGATGTACTCACAGTACATAGAGGGGAAATGTGATGTGACATGATGTACCCACAGTACATAGAGGGGAGATGTGATGTGACATGATGTACCCACAGTATATAGAGGGATGTTGTGACATGATGTATCCACAGTACATAGAGGGGAGATGTGACATGATATACCCACAGTATATAGAGAGGTGTTGTGACATGATGAAACCACAGTACATAGATGGTAGATGTGATGTGACTTGATGTACCCACAGTACATAGAGAGGTGATGTGACATGATGTATTCACAGTATATAGAGAGGTGTTGTGACATGATGTACCGACAGTACATAGAGGGATGATCTGACATGATGTACCCACAGTACACAGAGGGATGATGTGATGTGACATGATGTACCCACAGTACATAGAGGGGTAATGTGACAGGATGTACCCATAGTACATACAGAGGTGATGTGAAATCATGTACACACAGTACATGTACATAGAGGGGTGATGTGACATGATGCAGCCACTTAACAAAGAGTGGGTATGTGACATAATGTAACTACAGTACATAGAGGGGTGATATGACATCATGTACCCACAGTACATAGAGGCGTGATGTGACATCATGTACCCACAGTTCATAGAGGGGAGATGTGACATGATGTTCACACAGTACATAGAGGGATGATGTGGAATGATATATCAATAGTACATTGAGGAGAGATTTGACATGATGTACCCACAGTACATAGAGGGGGTGATATGACATGATGTACCAACAGAGGGGATAAGTGATCTGAGGTAGCCACCGTACATAGAGCGGAGAAGTGAAATGAGGTAGCCATAATATTGAGGTAACAGGTGACATGCGGTAGCCATAGTGTATAGAGGTGATAGGTGATATGAGGTAGCCATAGTATACAGAGGGGACAGGCGATATGAGGTAGACCCAGTACATAGATGGGAGATGGGACAGGTAATATGAGGTAGCCAGAGTATAAAGAGGGGGCAAGTGATATGAGGTTGCCATAGTGTATAGAGGTGACAGGTGATATGAGGTAGCCGTAGTATATAGAGGGGACAGGTGATATGAGGTAGCCGTAGTGTATAGAGGGGACAGGATATATGAGGTAGCCATAGTGTATAGAGGTGACAGGTGATATGAGGTAGCCGTAGTGTATAGAGGAGACTGGTGATATGAGGTAGCCGTAGTATATAGAGGAGACAGGTGATATATGAAGTTGACACAGTATATAGAGGGGACAGAATATATGAAGTTGACACAGTATATAGAGGGGACAGGATATATGAGGTAGCCACAGTATATAGAGGGGACAGGATATATAATGTAGACACAGTTTATAGCGGGGTCAGGTGACATGAGGTAAATAGAGGAGGAATGTGACAGGTAGTCACAATATATAAAAGGGAGAATTGACATGAGGTAGCCATAATAACTCGAGACCGACAGATCGAAAGTTTAAACCAAATTTCATGTTCTTATCGTCAGTATAAACACGAAAAACAACGCACTTTCCCCATTTTTACACACCTCAAGAAACATATTACGCTTAAAATTTTTAGAAACATTGGTTTTCGTTTCTACAAGTAAGTAGTAAAGTACTCCATGACCTGTGCTGGCGACGTGTCATTCTGCAGCGGACTGACCAATCAGAAAAAGACCTTCAAAAGTCAGTTATTTGGAGCGCTCGATTTGTATGTTCACGATATTCCTATTACCATAGTTTACACGACACATTTGGATTAATATTGACCAAATTCTTACATGTTAGTTTGCAATTCATGCAACACATGTGAAATGTTTCATTTATTTTCGGATCTAACTAGATGCCTACACACAGATGGAACGAACGCAAATGTCGTTTACTCTCAGAGTAAATATTACAGTAGTCACATGTAGTGCATTTTTAAGTCGTGCTGTAGGTTACGTAAAAGCTTAGATGACGGAACGGACTTTTAGATAGCACATGCAGTTCTTTGTACAGTAAATAACAGATAAGAAGAGTGTACAGGCCTTAACAGGTTTTATGGTAAGTCTTTACAATATGTTTGTTTAGCCTTTGAAGTGTCTATTTCGGTAGGTGATCTTCCGTAATATTGATTTTTATTATGTACTGCGATCTCTGTAAACATCTGCTCTATATACTGTGGCTACCCCTTGTCAAATGTACACTCTACTTACTGTGTATATTTAATTATCTTACTACACATGAAATTATTACTATGCACCAATCTGGATTTATGCCTAAGGACTCTCCTATAAATCAACTTCTTTCAGTATAGCATACTATTGTACAATGTCTTGACCAGTATAAAGAATTAAGATTTGTGTTTTGTGACATAAGCAAGGCGTTCGATAGAGTATGGCATGATGGACTGGAACATAAACTCAAATTATATGGCATCAAAGGGAAATTATTTTGTTAATTTAGATTTTGTTTAGATAACAGAAAACAAAGAGTGTTAACTGAGGGATATATATCTACATCCAGGCCTGTAAATGCAGGGGTAGCACAGGGCTCGGTTCTAGGTCCACTTTTGTTTTTAATTTATATTAATGATAGTGTTGACTGTGTTTCTCATGAAATTAAACTGTTTGCTGATGACACTTCTCTGTACGCTGTACCAGACGATGATCCAATCGAATTAGCACAAAACGTACGTTGTAACAGATGATCTTGGTAATATAAACTTCTGGGCTAATAACTGGGATATTAAATTTAATCCAAATGAAACAGAATCTGTTATATTCTCTAAAACACTGAATACTCATCACCCAAATGTATGTTTTTATGATGAACCTGTTACTGTCAGCCGAACACATAAACATCTTGGCTTGAAATTCAGTGATGATGCTAAGTGGAATGACCACATTTATGATATTTACCAAAAAACCATACAAAAGAATTAATATTTTAAGGATGGTGAAACATAAACTAGACAGACAGTCATTAACCACAATGTATACATCATATATTAGACCTTTACTAGAATATACAGATGTTGTTTGGGATAATTGTTCACAAAATCTAAACAATCTTTTAGAGTCAGTCCAGCTAGAGGCTGCAAGAATAATTACAGGACTACGTAGAGGCACCCCCCGCAATA